TTCCCCTCTCCAGTTGGAATGCTACTTTGCTCGTTTTCTCATGCGGCGCTTGTGTTCCTGTTTAAGCAAACGGCAGAAGGTAAACCAAGATGAGATTTTCCTTACCTCGATCCGATGAGCTGATGAACGAGGGTAGCCTCATAGCGTTGTTCGCTCTGCCTGACATTTAAGTGGTTGATGGAACGGTGGTTTGTGGATTCGGCAGCCGTATTCGACCTTACCTTCTTCCTCCCTTTTTTTTACATGCTCTGGCTCTGCGTGGGTTGGGTATGCGGATTGTCTGGCGCGTGGGTCATCCCATAAGATGTGCCCATTCTCTTATGGGATTTGCGCAACGGGCACCGTCTTCTCTTGCAAGCTTTGCGTGGATATTGGTTGTAACTTCTGCTTCTATATCGCATCGTGCTCTAGATTAGCATGTGAGATTTACTTACCACTCTTTCTGGTGGGTGATTATGTTTCACCGGTTTTTGATCTGAAGGAGGCTAGGAATTTGGCTAAGAAATTCCCACAGACGCCGCCAAATTGTTTGACCAAAAAAGTGTTAAAACCTTTTTTGATTAAATCAATTAATGATAATAATGAGGTAAATCTTAGTCAAGCATAACCAATTTTAGATCTGAAAATATATTGCAAGATGATGAATGAAAAATAAGAGCAATCACTGTTTATTGATGTTAATATTTCATCCCAGTTGAAATAGAGAGAAAAATCGGTTTACATCTTTTACAAGAAATTGTCAGAGCAAGAGTAGAGAGAAAAAGTCCAGCCTCTTTTTCGATGAATTCCCTTCTATATATAGTTCCAGGATCTTTGATGTGTTCTTTGACTGATGTACCTTCATACGACGGTCTTTTCAGTCGTTATTTGGGCGCCGTTCTTAGCTTATCATACACTATCGACGCTTGGGCTAAAATTGGTCGTGGTGCTTACCGTTATTTCACCACCCAGGCGGGGTCCCAACTCGGTCGACCACTGTGATCAGATTTTGACCTATACAGCACCCGGCCCGCACCGTCTGCCACTCCTAATTACGCAATTCCACTCCTTGAGTGGGTTTTGGAATTATCGTGCGTACACATTATACACTCACGTTGCTACTTGGATTTATTGATGGGGATTTAAAATGGACGGATGCCATCCCTCCTGTCCCTTACGTAGTATTATGCCTGAAGTGCAACAATAAGGTTACTGGATTTACGAATAGGCAACACATTAATTAATGATTATGTTATGAACAAAACTGTACTTAGAGTGAATGTCTATCTTTTAGAGAGTTTGTTACTTTGTGGCTAAGTCATTATTTCACCATATAAATAGAGGGGCTTTACCTCATTGTAAATCATTCGAAATTCAATAAGAATTACCTTTCTCTTTTTCTTGCAATGTTCTCCTTTTTCTTTATTGTTTTATTTCACGTTATGAACAGAATTGTACTTAGAGTGAATGTCTATCTTTTAGAGAGTTTGTTACTTTATGGCTAAGTCATTATTCTCCCTATAAATAGAGGGGCTTTACCCCATTGTAAATCATATGAAATTCAATAAGAATTACTTGCAATATTCTCCTTTTTCTTTATTGTTTTATTTCACGTTATTAGCACGAGACTCTACCGTCTCAAGAAGCTCTTTGAGAAAATTAAGGTATAACTTTTCTCCTATTTAATTATGACTGATATTATGAAGTGAAAGTTCATTTCCCTTGAAATTTCGGGCAATAACTATATGACATAGGTGTTGGATACTGAAATCCATTTAGATGCAATGAGTTTTGGAAACGCCATTAAAGATAAAAATAAAGCATCTACCCAAGACTGTGCTAAGGCCTTGATTTTCTTGCGCCATCACTTTGAAGAGGGGTTGAAAATAGAATATCTCACAACCAAAGATCCACTTATTTTGTGGAATAGCTTAAAGGAAAGATATGACAACATAAAGTTGGTCACTCTTCCACAAAGACGATATGATTGGGCTTATCTGAGGCTCCAACACTTTAAGTCTGTTTCTGAATATAATTCTGCGATGTTCAGAATTACTTCTAAATTGAAACTCTGTGGAGATAGTATCATGCTTGAAAAAACGTTCACAACATTTCATGCCTCCAATATGGTCTTGCAACAGCAGTACCGAGAGCACCGGAATCGGGATTTGAAGGTTCCAACGGATTCGTATGATAATTTAGACTTGTTCTTATGTCCGGATCGGGGTTTGGATGACCCGGGAGCGTTTCGGCGCCTATTGTGGAAAGTTGGCATTTTAGAAGAACTTCATGAATTTGGGTTGAAGTGTATTTCAATGTTATCGATGTCCGTTTGGGATTCCGAGCTTGGGATAGCTCCATATTGTGATTCTAGTCTTGCGAGCACGTCCGGATGTGGATTTGGAGGTCTGTAGGTCATTTCGGGGTCAAAGCAAATTGATTATAAAAATATTTGTTTAATTGATTCATGTACGACACATACAATATTCAAAGAGAAGAAATATTTCTCTCATTTTAAGTATGTGTAAGGCGGATGTTACTACAATTTCTGGTAGTAGTAATCTAACTGAAAGCTCTGGAAGAGCTATTATAACTCTGCCCAAGGGAACAATACTTATCATAGAGAATGCAATGTTCCCCTCCAAGTCCAAGAGGAACTTTTTGAGTTTTAAAGATATCCGTCGAAGTGGATATCATATTGAGACAATAGATGAAAATAATCTTGAATATCTCATCGTTACCAAAAATGTCTCTGGCCAAAAAAGGGTTATTGAGAAGTTCCCATCTTTATCTTGTGACCTGTATTGGACAAGAATTAATGCAATTGAGGCATATTCTATCGTAAACCAAAAGGTTACTGACTCCAATACTTTTGTACTTTGGCATGATCGATTGGGACATCCTGGATCAATTATGATGAGACGGATCATAGAAAACTCAAATGGGCATCCATTAAAGAATTTAAAGATTATTTTAAATAATGATTTTTCTTGCACTTCTTGTTATCAAGGCAAGTTAATTATTAGATCATCACCAACAAAAGTTGGGTTTGAGTCCCCTGCGTTTTAGGAACGTATACAAGGGGTCATTTATGGACATATTCACCCACCTAGTGGGTCGTTTAGATATTTTATGGTCTTAATAGATGCATCTTCTAGATGGTCTCATGTGTGCCTATTGTCATCTCGCAATCTGGCATTTGCAAAATTAATGGCACAAATAATTCGATTACAGGAACATTTTTCGATAATCCAATTAAGTTTATTAGACTTGATAATGCTGCTGAGTTTTCATCCCAAGCATTTAATGATTATTGCTTATCAATTAGGATAAAAGTGGAACATCCTGTAGCTCATGTTCACACTCATAAGCCTTGAAGAGTCTTTGATTAAACGTCTGCAATTAATAGCAAGACAGTTACTCATGAAAACGAGGTTACCTACTTCTGTTTGGGATCATGCCATTTTGCATGAAGCAATGCTAGTTCGTCTCAAACCGACAAATTATCATAAACATTCCCCGTTGCAATTAGTTTTGAGTCATGAACCTAATATATCTCATTTAAGAATTTTTGGATGTGCAGTATATGTGCGTGTAGCACCGCCATATCGCACCAAAACGGGTCCCCAAAGAAGGTTGGGAATATATATTGGGTTTGAATCGCCCTCCATTATTCGCTACCTCGAAAGATTAACAGGGGATTTGTTCATGATATGATTTGCAAACTGTCGATTCGATGAGACACTTTTCCCAAAATTAGAGAGAGAAATTGGTGAAACCAAACGGAAAATTTTGTGAAAAAAATCCATCATTGTCACATCTTGATCCACGTGCCTCTATTTGTGAAAAAGAGGTATAAAAGATCATTCACTTGCATAAAATAGTAAACCAAATGCTAGACGCATTTACAGATCTGAAAAGGATAATAAAATCACATATCCCTGCAGAAAATGTTGCAATTCGTATTGATGTTTCTGTTGGACAATCTTCTAGTATCATAGCTAATGAGTCAAAAGCATACCTAAAGTGTGGCAGACCATTGGGTTCTAAGGATCGAAATCCTAAAAAAAGAAAAACAAATGTTCAAGATGACAACGAAAGAGCCTTATAAAGAAATTTATGAGTTAACCGAGATTCATGAGGAAACATTGGGTTCCAAGGATTGGCAACACATTAATTAATGATTAGATGAAATATGACTGAAAAAATGTGTCTTGTTTTTCTTTTTTGAGAAGGATATGTCTTGTTTTTCTATAGTTTTCTTATAGCTGAGAAAGGACAAAGTTTAGTATAACTTAAAATAGTGAAGCCATGCGGCTGTGAAAGTCAATATGTTTTCTTTATTATCAAGGTGCAAAATGCAATATATTTCGAGTATAGCAGTATTAAACAGTTGACTGAAGCATTATTAAACAATTGTCATGTAACTTTTACGATTGAATAGCGTTAAATTTTCCGTGCAACTTCTCTTTGTGCTAAGCTTTTTTCGACATTGTTGATGCTGATATTGCATAAATAAATTTCTGTGAACAATTCATGCATAAAATGAGGATTCAAAACGATACTTGCTCCATTTCAATTTAGATGAACCTATTTGATTTGGCACGGAATTTAAGGGGGGGGAAAAAGAACGACTTTTGAACTTGCCGTATAAAATAAAGCACATATATTTTGTATAACTATAAATCGTTGCATAAAAGTAAATTCTTTTCAAATATAAAAAGCAATCATCCTTTCCAGCACGGACTGAAAAAGAAATAGGTACACATAGATTAAAATGAAAAGAGTATAAAGGAATGTTGTAGACCTAATGTGACATCGAGAGAAAATGTCTTAAAAAATAATCTCTTAGCTAAGAACAAAGTCCAGCATTTATCAGCAGAGGTGTCTTTCATTTTGATATTTAGGAAACTTGAGGCTTTTAAGATCTCTTGTTTACCTTATTTCTTTTAATTGCTGCTAATTTAGACTCTACTTTAGAGTCTGTTCTAGACCAAAGAAAACATAAACTACAAATCAAGTGGCAAACAACAAGCGCAGTGTACTATGTAATATAACTAAAGAGTTAATCCATGAGAAATCCTGAGAAACAGAAGATATGAATAGCATAATGTCATGTGAGAACTTGGATGCACGAAAAGACAGTATCGTCACAAAACTGAGCTGTTTTTTAACACTAAAAAGGATCCCAAAAAACATGAAAGTGTCATTCTTCACTGAAAATGACAGTTTAATCTTCATCCTCGATGATCTTGGTGCCGAGACCCTTCAATCCCTCTGCTGGGATCTCTGCAACAGTAACCAGAGAGTAGAGCTCCTCCTTTGCGTCCTCATCATCATTCCTCTTGCGAGCAATACGGACTCTGACACGCCTTGGGACACTTCGGATGCCCCTGCTCCAGATCTGCTTGTTCAGCTTCACGTCCACTCTGACATCCTTTGTGCCCATAGCTTTCTGGGCGAACTTCCGGATCTCCTTGATGGCTGTTGGGGCCTTCTTCTTGAATGTGCTATTAAATAAATATACCAGCCAAAGGTTAGACAACATCAATAACACCTATATGAAACGGTAATCAATTGATCTGCCAACAGTCAAAAAGGTGTAACACACAACTTTGTTTCAAAAAGCAAGCACTACACTGACTCTTTCCCCTCAAACAATTTTTCACGACGAGAGCAGCTAGAGAAACACCAAAATATTTAATCAAGTATATGAAAGGGAACCCAAGGGGGTAAAGGCCAAAAAGGAGCACATTAAGTTATGATCTGAACATGTGGCCGATAGAATTGATCTCAAATTTATTATCAATTCAATTAGCCTATAGGAGTGCCATAAAAAAATCCTGTAATAGCAGAACATAATGCAAGAATGTGGGACGAGAACCAATAATGAAGCGCTTGATCTCAAATTTAGTATATATTATTCAGCCAACCAAGTGACTACCTAATCAAATAAATAAATAACCTAGTGTCATAAGCCATAAATATCATAACAAGAACAAAAAAGAATGAAAACACTGCTGTACTCCCAATCCATGATGAAACAATTGAGGGCACAACTACACAAGTCAAACTCAACAGAAGAAGATGACAAGTTTCATATGACAACACCGAGTGAACATCAAATACTAACACCAACAACAACATAGTACAATTTTTTAGCCCTTAGTCCTAGAAAAATCTACTTAATTAAACCTTCGATAGCTTCCACAATATTCCTGTAACCCACTCCATCTACTACCTTGCAGGTTCACTGTGCATTTCTAGGCGAGTAGAACAATACTCCCTCCATCCCATTTTAACAATAACTTTAGCTCAAAAGAATTTCCCCAAAGTAATTCTCACTTTAGGACTTCGACTAAATTTGTTAATTGTTTCAAACTATACCCTCAATATTAATGAAAACTAATTCTTTTTAACAATGCTCAATTCTCAAATAGCATTTAATAGGGGTAAATTAGTAAATTATAACTTGTATTTATTATTTTCTTAATGGACGTAAAAAGATCTAAGCGACAGTTAAAATGAGATGTAGGGAGTAGTAGTTAGTTTAGTACGCATTGAACAAAAACTTGATTGATAGCTGAAACCATATACACTCATCCCTTAGACACAGAGATCATCAATTCAGATACATATCTAAAAGTTTAGCAATTCACAGTTAATAAGAAAACCACCACTCAATCAATCTATCAATTAATCAAACCAAAAAGACACTTGCTATAAAAAGACAAAATTTAACATAAAACCAGCTACTGATTCATGAAACCAACACTTGCAATATAATTATACAAACAAAATAAACAAATTAATCGATACAATGTATAAGAAACTAAGGAGGGAAATAAGATTTTACCAGCTATGCAAGCGCTTGTGGAGATTAATGGTGTACTCTCTGGTAACCACTTCCTCTTTTCTTCCTTTTGTTTTTTCCACCATTTTCTTTCCCTTTTTTTACTTCTACAAACTAACCGTTCCTGCAATTAAGCAAACAAAATCCTTTTAATCAATTTCAGATCTGTAATGAAAGCTTATCAATGAGTTCTTCTACTTTTACATTTCATCGTTAAATATAGAGAAAAACAGAACGAGGGGGAGAGAGAGAGAGAGAGAGAGAAAGAGAGAGAGAGAGAGAGAGAGAGAGAGAGAGAGATTACTAGGGTTTGAAGGAGGGAGGCGCGAGGTGCCGAAATGCAGAGAAGATGGAAGTAATAATATGTGGGGAGCTAATTAAAACCCTAGAGTGGTATAGTCGTAATTTTGGGCTATCTGAGGGGCTGTCTTGTAATTCGCTAATGAATACATTGGGCTGGGCCTAAAGGCTAAATGTAGTACTTCCAAGTCCATGTTGCTCTGGGCTTAAAATCTAAACTGCAGCCCAATATGGTAATGGATGATCCATGTTTGTACATTTCTCAAAATAAATTACGCTGGATGGATCTTTTCAACACCATCGTGCATATTTTGACAGGAAATTTTCACAAACCACTATTGTTTAGTGGATATTAGCTAGTTGTAGTTACAATTTTCTATATTACTTTCTATAGCTATATTTTCAGGTTTTTTAGAGTGTATTCGATGTATTTAAGCTATTGTATTCATGAATACAGTAGCATTTCTCGGCGTGAAACTAGGGATTACAGCTAGACAAATTATTGTATTCGACTGTATTCACGGCGTGAAATAGGGGATTACAGCTAGACAGATCGTTGTATTCGACTGTATTCGACATTATTCACGATATGTAATTGTGAATACAGTAACGTAAATAGCGCAAATCATGGTCTATTCAGCTGTTTTTAAACGGAAAGTGAACCAATTAACACAATAGATTCCTAATATAACTCAACTTACTCAATTACATCACCCATAATTTGTATTTGACTCGAAATATGCTGAATATTTTTTCCAGTCGATAAATACAACAAAAACAGAGCAATTTGAATGCATATATACATCTGAATACATAAATTATATTAATTAAAAAAATATATTAATACATTCATGGAATGCAGCGAGACAGTGAATATAATGAAATACATGGAATACAGCGAGATACATTTAGGGGTGGGCATACTTTGGGCAAACCCGAATCCAAACCGAAATCCGAATTTTTTAGATTTTTGGTTTGGATTTTGGATTTAATTTTTAAAATTTTTGAATATTGGATTTGGTGTACTTCGAATTTTTGGATATCGGAAAATCTGAAATTCTTATACTTTATATTTAGTCCATTATCCATATGTCAATAGTAATAAGTACAATACCTTACCCATTAGATATTATCACATATATTCAATATTAATTACTAAGTTATTATGAGAATACTTTCTATTTGGACATGGTTTTACTATTTCTACTTCTTATCTGTCGTATTAATGTCTCTATTGTATTTTTTATTTTTTATATAATAATTTCATTACTTTAATATTTCATTTGGATGATTGCGGTGAGAATGAAGAACTTTTCAGGCAATTTAACATGAGTACTTCATTTGGATATTCATTTTTGTAAAAAGAAGAAACATCTCAACTTATAAGCTCAAAACTAAAAATTCAAAATATCCAAACCGATTAATCAAAATCGAACTTGAAAAATCCGATCCAATCCGAACTTATTTGGATTGGATTTGGATTGTCATTTCGTCAATCCGAAAACTGAAAATCCAAACCGAAATTTCATATGCAATCCGAACTGCCCGAACGTCCACATTGACATACAATGAAAGAAAAGACAATGAATACAATGAAATACAGCGAGATACATTGAAATACATTGAAATATATTAACAGAATCTTCAAGTTGCTCAACCCCAAACTCCGTCGTCTTTGTTCAAGAACAACCCTAATGTCGTCTTGTCGAGAGGGCCACGATTCTGACTCGAAATGCTACTGTTTCTGGTACCATAATACCCTCACGTGCGCTTCAAAAAACCTATTATTTGCAATTGAATTTGAATGGCGCTTGAGCCATTGACGAGATTGAAACAGATAAGAAGGGCATGGGTAAATAATGGTGCTTTTCTGACGTTGTTCCTTTTTCAGATCTGAAGGTGATAGATTCACCATTTCCTTTTGCTGGTCGTGACAGACTCAGTTAAAAATGGAGGGGCTATGGTGGTTAGGTTGAAAAGGTGACGGTGGAAGATTAGAGAGAGAGGGAGAATAGACATGGGATAGGGGATACGAGAAATTTGAGGGGAGAGAGAAAAATAATACAAATCTTATTTTATGGCTTAAGGGTAGGAGGTGATCATAAATAGATATTTGACTATAAAAAATCAAAAGGTAGCTATGGAATATAATTTTTTAAAAGGGTATTTATTTAAAATAAATAAGATATCAACCTTTGCTATAGGAGGTAAAAATTCCTATTTTGACTCTGTTAATTATTATTTTTTGTGGAGAAATAGTCCAGCGCCAGAACTTTGAAAGGTCGGGGTCAGTATTTTGAAGCACCAGAAAATCTAATATCATTAGAATTTCAGCCACAATACTGAAAAATATCTGGTCATCCGTCAGGATTTTGTGTGTTATGGTGATAACCCGAATTTGACTAGAAATTCGACGATCGTTAGGAATGTGCTTTAAAATTCTAATACCAAGCTTTATTTTAAATCTTCTATTACTGGGATAAAAAAAAAAATTAACAGTCCACAAAAGTATCACCTTCAAAATATGAAGGTGAAATAAATTTAGATAAATATAATGAGACCCAAAAATAAAATTTATCAATAACTGATGGACTAAAGTTGCAAATTAATGTCTAATCAAACCATATTTCCCTTAACATTTAGCTTGGATGTCTCTAAGCCAGACCCACATTTTCCTTAACATCACCCGTTTAGTCTTTGGATTATTCTTTCAACAACAATAATAACTATAGCTCAATCTCAGATTAGTTAGAATATGTTATTTGAATCATCAGTAACCATTCCAAAGAATTATGACTTTTATATACATGCACAAACGTTGTAAGAACTTTTGTATTATTGTACTATATGGTAACAAGGTTGTAGCAAATTACCCTCTTTGTTTTTCTAGGGGGATTTGCATCTATACCCGCTTTTTGGATCACGCTTTGATTTATACCCGCTTTGCAAAAAAACTGCAAGTGTACCCACTTTTCGCGTAAACTTCAGGCATACGGGCCTGAAGTAGCAAAGGCAATCACACAAACTTCAGCATTCTAGTAGACGGGCCTGAAGTTGTTTGTAATTGATGAACTTAAGCATTCTACTAGCTGAAGTTTTGTTCTATTTGTTGAACTTCAGCATGTTCTAGCTGAAGTTTTTCGCGTAACTTCAGCTAGTAGAATGCTTAAGTTCAGCAATTACAAACAACTTCAGGCCTGAAGTAGCAAAGGCAATCACGCAAACTTCAGCATTCTAGTAGACGGGCCTGAAGTTGTTTGCAATTGCTGAACATAAGCATTCTACTAGCTGAAGTTTTGTTCTCTATTTGCTGAACTTTAGCATGTTTTAGCTGAAGTTTTTCGCGTAAACTTAGTGTTGGCTGAAGTTTTTGTTTGTAATTGCTGAACTTAAGTGTTCTACTAGCTAAAGTTTTGTTCTCTATTTGCTGAACTTCAGCATGTTTTAGCTGAAGTTTTTCGCGTAAACTTAGTGTTGGCTGAAGTTTTTGTTTGTAGTTGCTGAACTTAAGCATTCTACTAGCTGAAGTTTTGTTCTCTATTTGCTGAACTTCAGCATGTTTTAGCTGAAGTTTTGTTCTATATTTGCTGAACTTCAGCATGTTTTAGCTTAAGCTTTGCTATGTTTGTGATGAACTTCAGGGCTGAAGTTTGTTTTGTATTGAAGATGGAATTTCTCATCTTTCTACTGATACAGTTCATAAAAATCTTTCTGATCTTTCTGGTTGGGTACAAAGCATGTTATCTGAGCTCAACAACACTTTGCTGACAAACTAATTAAACACCTCATTAACAGAAATCACTGGAGAAACAGGACATCCTAATCGGGATTGGAAGAAACACAAGATAGACCATCTTTACAAATAAAAATTTAAAATCAAAAGTGCCATAATAGTTCAACTTTCAAAGCTTAGCATAAGAATTGCATCAATAAAGCCATCAACTTGCTGTTTGATATTCCATTCCTGGATCAATCTGAATTCATTGCAAATATAATAAATACAGACAATGAATTATAAATAGATGAAGAAAAGTTCTAAAACGTTGTCTCAACAAAAATGGCAATCACTATGAGCAAATCAGCAGTAAAATATACTACAAATTACAAAAAATGAAGAGTAGAATAAAGAGTAGAAAAGAAAGGAGCGCACAGGTAGCAGGAAGGAGGCGTCTGAATTTGTAAAAGTTAGGGAATAAATTAAATAATTTTAAAAATATGGGTACAGGTTAAATGGGGACGACCAAATAGGGCGCCACGTGCAATTTTTACGTTTTTCTAGGTAACAAATTTCGCTTATCATGAATGGTTTCATATAGTTATCTTTTGAAAAATTTTATTTTGTGTCTCATACAACTGACATTAGTTGTATGAGGCATCTTTTTTGTCTCACAGTTTTGTGGATCCAGATTTTTGTGGACCCAAAAGTGTAAGATTGGGTCCACAAATTTGTGAGACAAAAAGGAACCTCACACAACTAATGTAAGTTGTGTGAGACACACAATAAAACTTCTCGTTTGAACGTTGCTTCGCTGCGGGATCCTACACATTCAAATTCCATTGCTACCAAAGCAACGACTGAAAGAACGAAAATGGGAATCTCCAAACCAAAGAGCCGAAAAATAGCACGTAACCAAAGAGGAAATAAACCTTATATTCCTCAATAATAAGGTAAGGATCAAAACCAAGAAGATACTTACTTTAGATACTTTGGTTCATATATTAGTACAAGCACAATGAATCATCAATTTTCTAAGCTTATTAATCTTGGCACAACCTAATTTTATTATACATTAGTACAAGACAACGAATCATCAACTTTCTAAGCTTCTTAGTCTTGGCACAACCGAACGTTTGTAACAGTTGCTGATAATAATGGCGCATCAATCCATGGTACAAGAAGGCCAGAAATGAGTACGATCAGATATTTTGGACAAAGAATTCAATGATATCTCTCATGCAATCCATTTGACTGTACTATTGTTGGGTTGGATAAGTGGACGAACACAGCGCCCTTGTTCAACAGTTTCCTCCAAGTTCTATTTTCAGCAAAGATCTCTACTACGTTTTCAGTGTACTTCGGGAGTATTTCCATAAACTGAGGG